GTTTTCTTACATCGCGGAATGCCTTTATATTGACCTTCTCGTCTGAGTTCTTCGTTTCCTCATATCCCCAAGGCTTAATATGAAATAGTGGCATCTATGAGAATTTTATTCTGACTGACACCAGTACTACTTTTTTTTTATTCGGTGCTTCTTACTTGACAACTTTTTTCTTTATCGATTTCTATCGATCAATATTGGAAATCGATATTCATCCATGGTTGATATAGATAACTATCGATTCTTATTGATTAACTACGCCTGGGATATAATATTACTGCACGTGACTTATAAATATTACACTGTGGGTGAATATTTAATATTCTTTCAAAACAACACGCGCAGTAAATTTACTATCGCACAAAATTAAACTTCGTTCTTCTTGCGCCAGTCTAATCAGCCAAAAGTTCAGTGGCTCAGCGGTTAATGTCGTTCGTAGACTGGAAAATTTCTAAACACGCGTGAGATTTGATTTTCTTGCATAATAATTTCATACGTAATGTCTTTTTCGCATGCTAATTTCCAACAATCACAAAAGCGTCATTGCTATCAACCCCATTGAGACACGCTTTTCCAGGAACGTTTTTGAAGTCGTTTAATAAACTCTCAGCACCTGTTTTATCGGGTCTAAAATTCACTCGCCGTCGGTCGTGATTTTATACCCGATAGAAGACTGCTGCTTGTTTCTTAAACATCTGCATAATACATGCGGTATTATATAAAGGTTGCTTTGGGCATTGGGAATTTTGGTGGCACTCAAGTAAGTCATAGTTGCAGTCCATATGCCCAAATGCCCAATGTCCAGTTACCAATAACCAATTACCAAGGCAACTGGGATTTAGCTGTATATATCAGGTTTGACACTGAAATAACGATATACATATCATTAAGTGAGTAGCTGTTGACCTTATTTATAAATAAATTATTTATGGCTGAACATTATTTACAAATAATGAAAAAAAAGCATGAATTTACTTTAATAATGTTTTACAAACGGCGCCCAATACGTATGGGGGCAAAAATCCCTTTGTGTTCATAAAGCAACTCATAACTTAGCCCACAAGAGTGACTGCAACATCAAAATTTCTCTTCGATGTTATGACGATGACGTCCAATTCAGCATCCATCGCCGGAAGTGGTGTGATGAATTCGTGACCATTACTTAATTTATGCGCTACTGAATCAGTGAAGATGCCAAACCACCTCCCACCTATGTACGTAATTGCTAGGAGTTACAAGCAGTGCGACCCTGCAGGGCTGTGAGCAGTGGCAGATCCAGGAGAGGGGCCCCAGGGTTCCGGGCCCTCCCCTTATTTTCAGACCAAAATGTTTTTTGGAGATTCCCCCCCACCTGGATTCGGCACTGGTGAGTGACTTAGCACAAGCACCTTGGCATGAAAACAGTCTGATCAATGGCGCTCCAGATCAGAGGAAGATGAAGATCAGTCAGAGCAGGGGGTACGACGGATGCGTCCGCAGCCCCCCACAGGTTCCTGAGGTCCATTTTTTTGTTGATCAAAGGTTAAACCAAAGTGAATTTATAGTACTGTTCTATTCTAATTCACTGATTGTGTAGTAAAACTGAAAATACTGTGAAAGAGCTTATAAGCCTCACTCACCCTTTCCACAAAACGTGTTTTAGCCTACGTAAACTATGAAAAAGCGGACTTGGTATTCAGTAAGGCATTTATCCCTTGTTAATACGTCACTCAGTGCTCCTTTATTTTGTACTTAACTGGTAAAGTCGTAGTGTGGATTTAGCACACTGGTTTCTTTCACGGAGTAATCATGTGGTCTTGTGCTGTACAGTGATTTCCTTTAGTTTCTTATCTTTGCTCTATCAGAAATTGACCTCTGATCATCCGACGTATCTAATCGAACAAAATCGAACCAAATTCAATCGAAACCCAATCGAACACCAATCGTTCGATCACTCTCACTCTCTTGTCTTCATGACTCGTAAGGCAGGGTATCTGAGAACTAGTACTCACAAAACTAATGAAACTAGGTATCTTAAGTTCCTGAACCAAGCCGACTTTCTGGCTCACTTCAATCAAGTAGAATGGGAGGGCATTACAGTGCGTGATGACCCTGTTATACTCTGGCAACAGTGGAAGGAACATTTGTTGTCCATTACTGATTAATAAACATGCACCTCTAAGGAGGAAAAGAGTCAAGGGTAAAAAATCTCCTTGGATTACCTATAACTTATTACGTTGCATGCGCAAGAGATTTCCTAAAACGCACCCATGCCAAGACGAATGACCCAGTTGCCTCGCTAAAATTCAATAAAGCCAGAAACGATGTCAATAATTTTATAAGAGTCACAAAAAGAAAATACTTAAGCGAAAACTTAAACGCTAAAGTTAAAAAGCAAAGGAAATACAGGAGGATTTTATACGAGCTGCAGTAACGTGATAACAATAAATCTACCGCGTCACAGAAATTAAGACAGGGGAACAGGTGTTGATCGATTCAGGGCCTCATCTGATATCGCTGAGGCTTTTAATCCTCACCTGACCAGAATCAGCGAAGACCTAGCTAATAAAATTCCTAATTCAGATGTAGACCCGCTAACCTACATAAAGCAAACTAACAGTTCTTTCAGCTTCCATGAAATCACCATTAATGACGTCCTCACCCTGTTAAGAAAAATTGCCACAAACAAGGCTACTGGGCTTGACAAAATTCCATCTAAGCTCCTTAAAATAGGCGGAGACACTCTTACCCCTCCCTTACTGCTATATTCAACCGATCACTTCCGACGGGAATTTTCCATGATTGGAAGAAAGCGTCCCGCTTTCAAGAATGGTCGCAAGTTTATCTAAATACAATCTATTATCAAATTGCCAGTCAGAATTTCGGCCGTTGCACAGTGCTGCTTGAAGCCACAAACAACTGGTGTGTTAATATTAACAAAGGTCTCCTTAATGAGGTGATTTTAATCAATTTAAAGAAGGCCTTTGACATGATTTTCCATGAAATTGTTCTCCAAAAATTGGTCAAATATGGCCTCAACCAAAATTCTGTCAGCTCGTTCACATCCTACCTATCCTCTAGGAATCAACAATGTAGTGTCAATAGCCATCTATCCGCCGATAGTCAAATTAATTGTGAGATTACACAAGGTTCTCTAATTGGTCCATTACTTTTCTTATTATACATTAATGACTTGCCAAGCTCTCTTGACAACGGCACCGCTCCAATGAATGCGGATGGCACCAGCATCCGCTTTGCAGCCCCAACGATCTATAATGATCTTGAAATGATGATCAACACTGAGTTAGCAAACATTAACACTTGGCTTAAAGTTAACAACCATAGCCTCAATGTTGGTAAAACTGAATTCATGACCATTGGCTCCCGTCAGGGGCTACAAACCCAAGCCGAGGATTCCATCTAAGCACATATCGAGGGCAAGCAGATCAAAGACTTGTGTTGGATATCTCATGTTCGAGTCATTTCAGTTCTATCCATACGATTCAGCTAATAGCCAAACATTTGCCCATAGATTTCTGTGAATTTTTTTGCAATTATGTCATGCATGAGGATCATAATTTTATCAAAATACATAAAAAAGGTAATGAACACAAATTTCAATTTAAACACCTGCTTCTTTATTGACTTGCAAACATACATTCAGTTTTGCTATGAGAATCTCAGATGAGAGTAATGCATCTAGTATTCATCTCCTTCCTCTTCTTCACCCTCGGCATCAACAGAATCCACACCCACTTCCTCGTAATCCTTCTCCAGAGCAGCCAAATCTTCACGAGCCTCAGAGAACTCTCCTTCCTCCATACCCTCACCCACATACCAGTGGACAAAAGCACGCTTGGCATACATCAGATCAAACTTGTGATCCAGACGGGCCCAGGCCTCAGCAATAGCTGTGGTGTTACTCAACATACAAACGGCACGCTGAACCTTAGCCAAGTCACCACCAGGAACAACTGTGGGAGGCTGGTAGTTGATGCCCACCTGAAAAATTAATCGATTGAAAGAAATTGATTACAACATGCCTTTTTCTAGCTTAAGTTTTAAGGTGTGTAAAAGCTAAGAGCAGCTTCCGTGTCATGGATGTGAAACATACGAATACGCAAACTGATTTCAAAAAAAATTAAGACGGCTTTACCAACCTTGAAGCCAGTTGGACACCAGTCTACAAACTGAATGGTTCTCTTGGTCTTGATTGTCGCAATAGCTGCATTCACATCCTTGGGTACCACATCACCACGGTACAGCAGACAGCAAGCCATGTATTTGCCATGACGTGGATCACATTTCACCATCTGATTGGATGGCTCAAAACAGGCATTGGTGATTTCAGCAACACTCAACTGTTCATGGTAGGCTTTTTCAGCAGAGATAACTGGAGCATAAGTGGCCAGTGGGAAGTGAATACGTGGATATGGAACCAAGTTGGTCTGTAAAATAATTAAAAAATCATACAATTAGCTACCATTCAAACCACGATTACTAAAGCAAAAACTAAGATAGGTAACTTATTATTACATGCATGTTATAGAGCTTTTTTTTTTCATTGAAATAACTTCAGTGTTCAATCTAGAAATCAGTCAAAGTGGGTCATGTTTCACATGGCATTTTGAATAAATTGTGGCATTCCAAAAATGGTCTGGGTTTGAACCTTTGAACAATTACTGACATCACCCAAACACAGCTGTATCACAGTGTTACTTGCTGAGCTTGAGGCAGTTGGCTCTTGAAGTTCAGGAGCTTGACTTATTGAACTGACTTCTCCAGCTTCACCATCCTTATCCAGTCCATCTTTATGTTCTTCAGTACTTATAAATAAGGTAAGTTTTTTTGCATCGGTATGACCCCACAATAATTATTCTGACGCAAAATGAAATTATTTCATTTTGCGTCAGAATATAATATTTCACGTCAATGAAGCACAAAAGTGGCCCAGATTAAACACTGTAATTAGTTACCTGGAACTCAGTCAAGTCAACATTCAGTGCACCATCAAAGCGCAGTGAAGCAGTGATGGAGGATACAATCTGACCAATCAGACGGTTCAGGTTGGTGTAAGTTGGCCTTTCTATGTCCAAGTTACGACGACAGATGTCATAAATGGCTTCATTATCCACCATAAAGGCACAGTCAGAGTGTTCCAAGGTGGTGTGAGTGGTCAGAATGGAGTTGTAAGGTTCAACCACTGCTGTTGCAATCTGAGGTGCCGGGTAGATAGCAAACTCCAATTTGGATTTCTTGCCATAGTCAACAGACAGACGTTCCATGAGCAGAGATGTAAAGCCAGAACCCGTGCCTCCACCAAAGGAGTGGAAGATAAGGAATCCTTGCAAGCCAGTGCATTGGTCCGCCTGGTGAGAATAGAACAGATTAATTTTTAGCAGAGCGAAAGGAAATACCTTGTTTTTTAGAGAAAATACTTAAATGAAAAAAGTGTTTAGCAAGTTACTGACCAGTTTTCTTATCCTGTCAAGAACAATATCAATGAGCTCCTTTCCAACAGTGTAGTGTCCACGAGCATAGTTGTTAGCGGCATCTTCTTTGCCGGTTATCAACTGTTCTGGGTGAAACAGCTGTCTGTAAGTGCCAGTCCGAACCTCATCTGTAGCAAAAAAAATGTATATGAAGGACCATTTGTTTACTGTTTGGTCACTAATGTTTGAAAGTCACTTGTGGAAATAACACATTATTTTCTTGGTCCTATCCTGTGGTTGGTCCACTGTTGCTAAGGTAAAACAAATTGGCGGTAACAACAAAAGGCACTTAATTTGGAAACAACATTATTAAGTCTTATAGCAACGGTGCTACTCGGAAGAACTCCACACACAAAAGAGATGTTTACAGCACTACACAGAATAAAAAATGGGACCAAAACACGATATAATTTTCCATCTTTCGGGGAGGAAACAATGGCAAACTTTGGTTAATAATTAACCAATTTCTAGCTTTACCAAATTCCTTCCTTTCTAACATCGGCGACTAAAAATTAACGAACACACTTTGAATTTACCGACTCAACTCACGGAGGAAGCAGACTCATGAAATCTGTGATTTACATTTCCAAACTAAAAATTTACCTCGTCAAGTTTTCATGTGGTTTTTAAGCAATTTTGGTTTTTCTTACCGACAACAGTGGGTTCCAAGTCTACGAAGACAGCACGAGGAACGTGTTTTCCCGCTCCAGTTTCGCTGAAAAACGTGTTAAAGGAATCATCACCACCGCCGATAGTTTTGTCGCTCGGCATCTGGCCATCAGGCTGAATTCCATGCTCCAGGCAGTACAACTCCCAACAAGCATTTCCAATCTGAACTCCGGCTTGGCCAACGTGGACAGAAATACACTCACGCTGAAAAAAAAATCAGGGAAGATTTTAATTTTAAAATTCGTCACTACCATACCGACAACTTTGAGTACTCGAATAAGATTTGTTATTGCTTCCTATAAAGTTTACTACCGTTTATCCGCGGTTGAGAAATAATAGGCAACGTCTGTGAGTTTCGAAGCGCGCAACGTTCGATTCGCGGTGAAGCATTGTTACAAACAATAAAATGGCGGACTTCTCGAAAAGTCTAGCTAAACGAACGTTTTGTTTACACTATTGAAATTTTCAAAAAATTAAATCCAGAAGAACTAACAATTCTATTAAAAGAAACAGTAACATGTTTTCAGTTTTTCTACTTCGTGTTGGAGACTTGATTATTAAAGCCAAGAACGGTTGAATACTACGAGCGCGTGCTCTGAAGGAGTGAAGAATGTAATTTCGAAATTCACCCGCAAGACTACCTAGGACACTTTTCAGTTAAGACCTTTCTACTTACCATTTTGATTCAGAGAGTTAACTTAATAAGAATACTAGGAATGAGTCGAATTATTGAACAGAAGTCTTCTTCTTCGAGGTGACGCCTTTGAACGAAGACCATCAACCGTTGTGAAATACATGAAAGACTGGGCGGGTTGAGCGCCCTCTTTATGGGTGTTTCATTTAGTGGGTTTCATAGCAACCGTCAAAGTGTCACATCAACATTTTTTAAGTCCCCTGGGACCCAGGGTCTTGTCGGGGGGGCGGGGGGCGGAGAGGGGAGGGGGTTATCGTTCCAAGTCGCTCGTGGGAACTTTAGAGATACACTGTCAAAAAATTATAGAAGTGCATTTCCCCTATATTTCAATTTTCACGAAAGAATAAATAAATAAAATAGACGAAAATAAAGAAAATCAGGAGCCCGTAAGTCAGTACAGAAATGAACAAATGTTTGAGTGTTTCCGTGAATTCGGTCAACGAAATGACGACTTTGTGAAAGTTAAGAATATTTAATTTAACGATGCTAATATGTCCTCTTCTATTTTTTTTGTATTATCTTCTAATGAAAGGTGTTTTTTGACTTTGACCCGCTTAACACATGCATGCGGACACCCCGTTGTAGGGACACTCTCCATGGCCCCTTAAAGGGCGGATTTAGGGGTGGAACGTGGCCAACCCTTTATGTTTAAAATTTGTATTATTGAATATTCATTATAGAATTCTCAGAAAAGTAAAAAGTATCTATGTAGCTGGCAAGTGGGCAAGTGGGAAAGTATCCCGGCCACCCCTTTCTGAATTTTGTGGATCCCTCTGCCCCTCCCTTCAGTGTCCGTATTATATTAATGGGGTTGAAATACCGTAAAATTCCGAAAATAAGCCCCGGGGCTTATATTTTTCAAAGGCCCTTTTTGAGGGGCTTATTTTTGGAGGGGCCTATCTACGGAGGAAAATTTGCGTTTCAAAATCGAGTGGGCTTGCCTTATAAATGGAAGGAAATTTACTGTTTTTGCCTTCTAAACGGCCGATGTCCTCGAACTTTCAACCGGACCCATCATGGCTGGTAACAGCTTCGGATGAGAGGAGAAAGCTAATAAAAACGTTCGAGACGACCAAGTTCCGCACATCCGCTTCTAAAGCACAGACAGGGAAAACCTTTTGCTGAACGGCACCGATCTCCCGCTCTCCCGTGCGGGTGATCACCATTTCTCCCGGATAAAATCATCTTTTGAGCTTTTCTGTGCCTTAGTTTGATATTTAGCCCATTTTTAGCACAAAACTTGAATTTTTCTTATTCGCAGTATGGTTTCTGGGGCATTTTTGCACGTATTTACTCACTGACAAAGATTATCTCTGGCAGCGAATTTTCATAGTATGTCCTTCATTTAAGACTTCAAATAATGTCGTAAGCCATTCCTATTGGGGGCTCCGTCAATTTTTCGTGGGGGGGGGGGGGGGGAGGTGAAATTGCGGGAGGGGGTAGTGAAAAAAAAAGAGTCTCCAGACTTTAGATCTCCAGAGGTTGGTGATGTAGTTTAACTTGAGATCAGGCTCTATTTTCGAAAGAGAGAATGTATGGAAGCTGCTAAAATTGGGCCGCTCATCTCACTTAGAGTATTTGGACACATTCAGGCGTTGGGTAGAAGACGTTGGAATAATCGCTCTTAAGTCCGCTGTCGCCATTATCAACAGGATGGCAAAAAGAAGAGGACGGCAAACACTTATGTTTGACAAACGAAACAGGACTGTGACGTGTTTAGTCGTGATATTCACTTGAATTCGTATTCAGTAATTTTTTTTTTTGGTCTTTTTCTATGGAAGATCTGTCTGAACGGAGGGTAAAGTTTGGCGGAAAGATTTTTTAAACTTGTCGCGCTTGTCACACAAGATTTGCCGTCTCTTTTAGTGTCTTTCTACCCCCGTTGTGTTGAATAAGCTCACTCGTACCACAGGTAAACCATCCGAACTGTTCGAGGCATCGTGATGTTGTCACGCGAGACATGTGATCCCATACATTTACTAACGCCCGCACTCAGCTTGATTCAAGTGATCGGTAGAAATGCTTCATAAAACACAGAATTTTGCACCTTTTGATCTCAAATGTTGATATAATGTAAGAAAAATGAATAAAGATAACTTACCGTATGTTCTTAGTTATGTGTTCTGCGTTTTTGTGGCGTTTTCAGTCACTTGAAACTGACACACCCGACTAATACATAATAAAACGACAAGGCTTGCAAATTCGGCGGCCAGAAGTTGCTGAGCGTCTTCTGAGTTTTCTCCATTTTTTCCAACTTCCATGCGTCCCTCGTAGGCTTTTATAGATTGTGCTAGTAAAAGTAGCATATTATGCCAGTAGCACTGCTCTGTTTTTGGCCAAATTATGCTAAAATTATTCTCCTTTTTCCAACTTATGTTACTTTTTTTTAAAATTGTGCTCTTCAAAAACCATGGCAAATGCGACCAAAAATACATTTTTTTTAATCAGAAGCCTTTTATTCTTGTCAGCTATAATATATAACGGTCTCTGGCAATTGTGGCTGGTTCTGGCCCTTCACTTCTCTGAGAGAGCTGTAAGTTTTCGCTAGAATCCGCTGGCATAGCTGACGCCATTTTGTAGCCTTGCCTATGACAGGTATTGGAACCGACATGATTTAGAGTGCGAGCAGTCCCTCTTCAGTCAGTCTTGTTTTTTACTTTCGCTCGCTTCGCTCGATTTCTTCGCTCGCGTGACCATCCTGAGGGACTGCTCGCAATCTTGCAGGGTTTGCCTTGGGACTTCCGGTTCCCGTACACCCTAGTCTCAGGCCCCATTTCCGGTCTCAGTAAACTGTAAATACCGCTTAAACATCGAACAACGTCGAAACAAAGAAAGAAACGACTGGGAAATTTGCTGTTTTCAGTTGCGCTTTATGGTATTGTACGCCATCAGAAATGAAATTTCACGGTTTTCGTGTCGTCAAAACAAGGAAAAGAAAAATCTATATTGAATTTTTTTGCTCTTTCTTATCGGGACACTATGTAGATTCTATCAGGCAAACAAATAAAAAAAAATCGTCCAAATTTGGTCAAGGCTAGCTGGTTATGAAGATTTGTCAGAGATTTTATGCCACTAGAAACAAAACGGATCGAAAAGATAATCAAAACTATATTTCCATTTCATTCTTAGCACATTTTCTTCAATACTGTGGGGTAGTTTGGTATGTTTT